TTATGTTATTTTATTTTTAAATATTATAAAATAATGTATTATATTTTCACTTTTGTATGTAACTTAACGCCTCAATTACTTGGATATTTAATAAGGTAATAGGTTTGGTACTACATAGCTGTATACATACAGAAAAAACAATTACTATTATTATCARTGTACCTAATTAACTTGTTATTTATTTACTTTATTTATTTTCAGGGAGTCCCTGGGAAGTAACAATCATGAGTGGAGGATCATATAGCCCAAAATTAAGCGTCCTCGGTGATGCTGTAAAATTAGTACCTGTTGATTCAGTAGCAATATTTCAAATAAGTGCTATCGGTTTTCATCGAGAAGATATACAAGTTAATGTATTAAGTATGTTAATTTAGTTTAATATTGACCTATTTTCATTTTTAATCATGTTAAATATATACTGAACACATTATATTTAAATATTTTTAAGGTCCCACCAAACGCAATGTTCAAKCTAAAATTATAAATGAAGGAGGAAATGGAATATTTAGACTAGAATTCATTGTGATTGAAGTGGGAACACATTTGGTTGATGTTAGTGTGGCTGGCCATAAACTTGGAACTGGTACATTATTAGCCAAAGGATATAATTCAGCTTTGATAAGAGTAACTGATGTTTCTGATGCTGTTGTTGGTCAACCTTGTCAATTCAGAGGTTAGTTTAAGAGAATATGTTATAATAATTTTTCATTTATTTTGGTATCATAACATATAAAACAAAACAATGTTTGACTTAGTAGTTCAGTGGCATATTTACTAAGTTTTTTCTATGGTAGGGAGGAGAATATCTACTATCCAAAACTTACTAACTCTGCTTCCTTATCYAAAACATTTGTCTGAGCTATGATTTAAGTTTTTAATTTATTACTTTTACTGAGTATGAGAGTTATAAATATGTAATGAATTTCAGTTAATATTATTTAAATGTGCTTATTTGTATACCTATCATACAATGTTTAATCAATTTATGTCATAAAGCCTACAGCTTTGAAACTATGAAATGTGCCTAATTGTTTTATTATATTTTGTTTTACAATAAAATGTTTCATCATGGACCGTTTAACTGCATTAAAAAAAAAAAAAAATTAATATTAAATATTAACATTTGTGTATCCTATTTTATTATAGTTGACGCTAGTGATGCTGGTGAAGGCCAATTAGAAATATCTATTAATGAAGGAGAAGTACCAAATCATGTGACTGTAGTTGGAGGTGGAAGATGTTTAGTATCTTTTACACCTGAACATGTTAAACCTCATATGATTGATATAAAATTTAACAGTGAAACTGTAATAGGTAAAAAATAAGTTTAAATAATTTWAAAAAAGTAATAACGATTTAGAATATGAAGTTTTAATATTTAATTGTAATTTATTTATAGGATGTCCATTTGTATGCTCAGTATCTGACACAAGTCGCGTGTCTGTTAATTTATCTYGTTTAGAGTTGATACCTGTTAACCATGTGGCAAAATTTCATATGATGGTTGATAATTCAGCTTCAGCTGAATTGTCTGTTTCTGTAACTGGTAAGTAATATTTGTTTTATTATTTTGTTATGTATCTTTGTAATAATATTTTTCTTTAAATTTTAGGGCCTACCACTGAGCTTCCAGTTAAAGTTACGGGAAATGTAAATGTAGGCTTTACTGCTGAGTTTACACCACTCCAAGTTGGAGCCCATTCAATATCAGTTGAATATAATGGACACGCCGTTAATGGTACTCCCTATGTGGCTAAAGCTTATGATTCAAGCAAAGTTTTAGTTGGACATGTGCCTAAGGGACATGTTGGAAATACATTTCAATTYACAGGTATAATTAAACATWTTTTTACTCTAAAATTTAAATATTATTTACTGTAATATGGTTAATATTTAATATTATTTTATGTAGTTGATGCTAGTGAAGCTGGTGAGGGAAACTTAGAAATTACTATATCAGCTAGAGGAGCAAATATTCCCACTCAAGTACACCCACAAGGCAATGCTAAATTTGCCGTTAGTTTTCTACCACTTCAGCCTACTGATCATGTTATTACTATCCATTTCAATAAGGAACCAGTCCCAGGTTAGATACATTTTAAAATGTGTAATATTCACAAATTTGACTTACCTATAAAATTATTTGTTTTAAATTCATAATTATGTTTGTTTTAGGGTCTCCTTTTATTGCTCATGTTGAGGGAGATTTACCGCTAGTTAGTGGTACTTCACTGACTAGCGCTCCTGTCTCAACTACTTCTCATTTCACTATGAGCAATGTATCTGGATCATTGGATGACATTGAAGTTAATGTTGAGGGTAAGTTATTAATACAATTATATTAATTTTGAAATCTTTCATTCTATATATTTGCCTCAGCACGACTGTATGGAATTTCAATTAAAGCTTGTCTACAAGTATGTGTGTCTATATTTTTACAGGTGGGCGATATCAAAAATCTCGATTATACTGATACTTCTCTCTTTTATTAATAACAAACTTAAAACAATTTTTATCAGCTATTAACGCTAATATTTTAACTTGGTGGTAGACCTTCAAATGTAATGTAGAAATAAAACTARTTAATTTGGCAAAATATATATATTAAAAAGGTATTAGTTTATGCAGGTTATATAAATATGTATATGAAAAAAAATTTGCTAAGTAGTAATACTTTTAAAAGGTTTATCTTGTGAAAACATTTCTATTATTAGTTATAACGTTA